CCCCCTCCCCGTCATCCTATCCATCTCCTACTCCACACCCTCCCCATCATCCTATCCATCTCCTACTCCGCCCCCTCTCTGTCATCCTATCCATCTCCTACTCCACCGGACCCCTGTCCACCATTTCCTTCACTTCTCGCTCTGGCTGTCCCATCATCCCACTTTACCAGCCCAACCATAACGCCAACCCTCTCCAGCATTTCATCCACTTTCTACGTACATGTACCTTGTCCCCATGATCCTCCTCCTACAGGTACCCCTCCCCCAACAAACATCCTAATCTGTCATTTGGAGTCCCCCTTACAATTTCCCCACATACTGTACATGTACATGTACGTTTGTGTCTAAACACTGCCTATACATATGCAAGTACATTACAGGAGTGCTCATTACATATGTACATGTATGTACTACAGGGTCAGTACAATACAACTGAAAACATCAACATTCAACTTTAATTTTTTTTCATTAAGCTCATAAGTTTCTAAGCATTAATGCCATATAAGACTATTTACACACTGACAGAATTCCAAGAGGAAGCAAACAAACACTCAATGGCACATTTTAACTTGGTCTTGCAAGGAAAACTTTAACTTTGAGGACGGCCGGGCGGACGGACAGACGGACGGATAGAAGACGGAAATTGGTATTACATTTGCTTCGCAGCTCGCCAAAAATAGAAGTCCTAGGGAGAATGCATGCTTAATATAACAACACCTTTAAAAGAAAGGACGGTATTTGTGCCCATGGAAAATAAAATTGAAATGATTATTTTCATAAAATTAAGACAAAAGAGAAGTCGGGGATGACACAGTGTAAAATGCACAGGCCTACTCACATTGCAATGGTTGGCTTCCCTCTTTTGTTCCCTGTCACCTTTAGTAGCAGTTTTACCGTACAGCAAACTTGTTGTTTGCCTTCCTGCATTGGCCTACCACGACAGCGGTAATCCTTCAGTCAAGTTTGCTGAGCACACACGTCTTTGAACAAGCATAGCCACTGGTTAACTGGCTAAATCATTTGTGGCTAAATTGTAGTGTTCTGTTGAATTTTGTGTAGCAGGCCCGCCTAGCATACTTCTGCTAGAGCAGCCAAAACCTGGCCCGGAAAAAATGTTGCATCCTGACTCCGCTTTTCTCATCATATACCATCTCAATAAAAGTCAGTCATTACAGAAATACTGGAAAGAAACGAATTCTGGACTGAGCAACATTTACCGATGTTGTTGGGAAATACTTTAAATATTCTTTTCACTCCCCACAGACTTTGTACACAGCTGCTGAAGTGGAGTCAGGACGCAACATACCTGGCCCTACACGCAGCTCGCACGTCATACGCGCGTGCACGTGCACGTGTTAAAGAAAAAAATGTTACCGCCATCATTATGCAAATTCTTGGCTCTTGAAAGGAGTCGCGAATCAGCGCAGCCTCGTTTCTGTGCGTTGCTTGTTGCTAAGGCTTTAGATTATAGCGCCCCCTACTGAAACTGAAAGACAGCAAACCTTGTTAGTTGTAGGTCTATTCAAAAGTATCGAAACTCCGTGGTTTTGTATGTGTAAGGGATGGGATCCGGACATAAACTAATTTAAGTTTTTTTTTAAGTACATGTATTTTCTTCACTTCAGTAAAAAGTTTGCCTCAACTAGGCAAAACAGTTACAAGTGAAACCAATTGCTTCGATTAGCGACCCAAGGGACAAAATGGGTGTGGACTTTAATAAAATTAGTAAAAGGATGTTTAACACACTACCCAGTCCTATCCTAAACTCTGGGGTAATGACTGTAAATGTAATCACCAATCACCAACTGCTGTTTCCACAAGGAAAAGTACATATTATAATGTGAGATACTTAACAATTGATGTAATACAGAATCCCTAATAATTTCCGCCGATGATGAATTTGCGAAGCTGCTAGATACGACGGGGGCTGTCGTGACTTGGGGGGAGACAGCCTGTAACAAACGCGGCTCCCTTGTGGCAAAAATCCTGACGATGGGGTCCGGAGACCATTAATCCGGGTATTAATTCATCAGTAAGAAATATCCGATGTGGCTGCATGGAAGCAGTTGCAGGAAGTCATTCGGAGACAGATTACTTGAAGCAGCAGAGAGAAGGTGACGAGGTGGGTGCGTGTCTTTGTGTGTGTGTGGGGGGGGCAAACAAAGAGAAGGAACGAAGAGTAGAGGAGAACTAATGGACAGTGAAATTTAAAGAATTGAGACATTGTAATGACGAGGGACTGGAGACTGGAGAAATATATATCAATAAAGGGGCGTATCCTGACAACAGAAGCAAGCAAACGGGCGATTGTATTTCAGGTCAACAACACGCTACACTCTCAACTCTCCATGAAACGCTAAGCTTACAGTTCACAGAAAATACCGGACTAAAAGCTGGAATGTACTCAAAACATTCACAATTCAGGTCACGCAAACTTAAACGGGCTGTGCCGAAGTTCTCTAGAGGGCAGCACTTCAAGTCGACTTCAAGGCGATAGATTAAGGGGAAAGTCGGGGTTCCGCCCTCTAAACAACTTATTTGAGGATGCTCAATGTAGTTGCGCCGCATCAGGACCGATTAGTTGAACAAACTTGAACCCGCCAGCAGGAGAAACGGGCGGGGGCCACTCAACGGCCATTTAAGGGTATTAATCAGCAACAGGTGTTGGGATCTAGCGACTGAAGTCGTGAACAGCCGCTGTCTGGCTCTGGACGTGATACTGCAGAAAAAGAGACTTCTGCCGAGATCGGAATCTTCGTACAAAGTCAAGGTCTGCACATAGTTGATCAAAGCAAAAGAATTGAAATGCCAGATTTGAAAAAAAAAGATGAGATTAGATAAAGCTAAAAAGAATTTCTGCCCTGTTCCTTGCTTCCCTTGCCCCAACAAACTGATCCAACACAATTGGTTTCTAACTGCCATTTTTCACAAAATAAATGAGTCACTGCAGTGGCGGCGACACGTTTCTAAAACTGAGGGGCAACAAGCGGGGGTCTAAAGTTGAGGGGAAGGGAAAGAAACACTTTTTTAAGAACTCATGGCAAGTCTCCCTTCCCCGTCTTCGACCGTGAGTCATTGCTACACATGCTTGCGGAATTGAAGTTACTGTGCCAGTTGGAGTAAAATAGTTGGCTCTTCTCACTTTTACACAGAAACAAAGGATAAACTAACCACACATTACAACTGAAATGTGGCTATATGACTATCGCAGATGCGTCATTATTGCAGGTCAGTACCGCAGGCTTTGTAATCTCGAAGGGCGCACCCTTGCGTCTCAGGGTTAGGGAGTGGCTTCAAGCCTGTAGCATTATCAGGGCCCAAGATACGAGGCTAACAGTCGACGCCCAGCATCAACGCTCTGCCACGCCAGATAATAGCCAGACGTTCCCCTGGTCTCGTCTCAAGGGAATTCTTCTAATTTGTCTTGCTGGGAGGAGGTGCCGACATAGGCCGCTGGGAAACTGCGTTCCAACTCGTTAAAAGCCGATCAACATAGGACTTTGTCAGAAGCCCGTTCAAATTAAAACAATGAAAAAAATGGAGCAAAAAAGAGTACAACGCTCATCTCCATTGAAAGCCTGAAGGGAAGGTGAAAGAGAACTACAAATGAATCACTTAAAAACAAGCATGAAAGCAATCAGCGAACACAGCAATCTCAGAAAGCAAAACAGAAAAAGTAACAAATTGTAAGAAACAGATGGTCACTGTATGTAAAACCCCAACGTATCTCCATTCTTTGACTGGACGCAAAAGAACACGTCATGAATCACGTGGGAAACGGCGATGAATAAGTTACAAATGTAGCATAATAAAATCTACCCATTCGTTGCCTGATTGAATTACATACATGCTTTGGAACTATAGCATGAAAGGAAATTACGAGGAATGCCTTCGCCCCAGGCGAGAAGTAATGAAATAACTGAACATTCAGGCAAAATTTAATTCAGACATCCTGTTCCAAGGACGTAGGGGGGCTAGGTATGATAATCCTAAGGACACGTTCCCATGGGAGGAGCACTATTGTGAACAGACGAACAAGACGCTTAATCTGGTTCAATGTGACGAGTTACTGGCCTAGATCCTTACTTAGCAAGTCATGAATATGATCCAGGGTTGTAGAAGCATTGGCATTCGCGTCAACTCGAAATAACCCTGGGGAAAAGGTTAAACACATGCATACTGGTACTGCTCTCCAGCCAATAAAGATCACGTTTCCTGGATGTCTTCCTTGGTACTAGTCAACAATACCCTCTAACATTCTCTATCGGCTCGTTTATTTTCAGCCATTTTTACAATCCTTCAGGCATCACTACGTCCTTACAAGTCCCTACTTGTTGAAATGTCCATTTTCCAACATCTTAGCTCTCTTTTTTATCACTCTGCAATCAATTAAAGCATACCACTCCACGTGCTAACAACCATCACCAAACAATTTCCCGGAAAAAAAATCAATACAAATATCTACGAGCAAAGATTCCGCATTCCAAAGACTTAGGGAATCTCCAGTTCTGGGAAAAGATTTTATTTCTATCACCCTCAAAAGTAACCTGGTAGTTCATGCCTGGTTACTTTTACATCTATCAAAATTCAATGCCTTGTTTGATTTCAGCGGATTCAGGGCCTGTAGCAAAAGATACTTGTTCACACTGAATTCAATGTTCTGAGTACATCATGCTGCCGAGTCCACGGTGCAGTGCTGGATTTTGGAGGCCAGGGAGTCAGGAAAGTTTCACAAAGACAAGTTAGATTTGTTCCACCACATTTTTTTCTCAATCATCAACACAAACCATGGTGAAAAGATGTACACTTTACATAGGAGTTAGCCTCCCTCCTTTGCATACACAAGTGAGTTTTTAACAACATATTTACATTTTTACACAATGTACAAATTTCATTTACTCATGTTTATAAAATGACAGTCTGCTTCCACTCACCACTAAGGTTTGGTAAGAGTTGATCTAACACTGCTGGAAACTTGAAAATTCTGCCAAAAGGCATCTTCCAAATCAGTATTTGGTCATATCCAATAAAATCTATTATATAAAACAATACCAATCAAGTTCTATAAGAGGGAAAATTGATTACAAACCGTCAGGATTAAGGAAGATGGTAGACAAGCTTTTAAAAGTCGATGATGAATAAAGCAATGTCTGAGAAAATATCTGCAAACAAGAAAATGTTTGAAGAGGAACAAGTCTGGCCAACTACATGTAATTGGCAAAATGAGAAACTCTGTGAACTTACAATGTCCAAAAAATATGCTGAAAAAATTCTGATATACATTTAAACTCATTGTTAATAGTCATATGGGCCATTCTTTTACAGAGCCATAATTTTTTAAAAAGAATGCTTGAGAGGAATTGTAAATGTCAAACATATAACGGAAATTAAGTGAAACAAAATTTGTGAACATTAAATGATTTTGACAGGGAAAAAGAATAAGTTTTGGATGTCTCACGGCAAATGACAACAATAATTACTGTTAATCATCATTTTCATTCAAGCTGAAAGGTTATCAAAGAAATCCGTGAATTGCTTTTTTTGCAGTGAGGTTTTCGGAGTACAAGCCATGACTAATTCATCTGTTGTCTGTAACCGAATATTAAAAAAGCAATCTTTTCAACATCCCAGCGACTGAGTCTCAATCACTGTCAGAACCCCCCAAGGCGTTGGACTTTTTCCTCTTCTTTGCTGGTTTGGGTTTACTGCTTGAAATATCATCATCCTAGGAGAAAAACGTGGAAAAGAAAAATTGAAGAAGAGAAGAAGGAATCCAGTAGATTAGAAGTGACAACTTTGGTTTTCTCAAGAGTATTTGCTGCAGGAGGGCCACAGATGCCTATCGTCCAGTGTCTCATCACTTGTCGATCACCGTTTATTTGTCTAACTGGCTACTTTGACCAGACCTACTTTCCAATACCTTTGTGGCATAAGAAGGTTTTATCTTCTTTCTAGGTCTTCTGTTTGCCAATGTACCTTGCTTGCATGCTCCCCAATGGCTCCCTTTAAACATTCATGTACTTGTCTGTTTGAGGCTTCTGTATCTCCAGTAAAGCATGTTGTCCATGAAGATGATTGTTCCCTCATGCTGCCTGCTCATGTATTTCCCACTCCAAGCCATTCAAGGTTTTTTGATGGTGGTATCAGGAATTCTCTCCAATATTTGATTTTATGAAGAGAAGCACTGGTAAGTTATCTCATCTTCAAACTGTCACCAAGTGTCAGATTTCCAGCCAGTGGTTTGTGTGGACTTCAGGTTTTATGCTTGGTTTATTTGTTGACCAGCAAGCTTAAATATTACACTGAAAAATTAATCGCCTTGCTTTCTTGTTAATTTATTTTTTTGGTACTGTTTTATTTCGACCCTCCTATCAATTTCTGCATAAATACAGCCATCATGAATGTAACTATACTGTGACAACAGCATATGAGCAGGATTTCAACTTATAACTTCACGTTACGTTATAATGAATACGTTCCCCTGGCCAAATTGACAGAACAAATTCTGACCTGATCTGATTCAGAGGATGATTCCACATCATTTTGAGGTGCTTTCCGGTTCTTGGGACTGCTCGCGCCCGGTGACCTCCTGGTAACTCGGCTTCGTGTCGTCCGGGAAGACATATCATCTAAGTCTTCCGTCAGGCCAAACAAATCGCTGTATCTGCAGTTTCAGGAGGAAAGGAGAGCAGTGGGAAAGGATGTTAAATTTGTTTCTCGCCAGCCCAATGCTAATGCCCAGCCCACCTATTTGTTGTTACAGTGTGCTGAACATGGCTAGGCACTTAAGTTGGCAGCATACTCAGACGGAAGCAGCAACAGAAGATTGATCACCGACTGGAGTTTTTGAAAACTCCAGTCGGTTGCAGATGGTTCTAATATATCCAGGATGGTGTCCTTTTCTAACAATGCGCAATGATACTTTGTGATCACTCAGTTTGTTGAGTTGGGCAGTAGCTACTGGTGTTTTTCAATCAGCTTAAACCAGTGTTGTAGTCGAGACCATCACAAGACCTGACACAAGACCAGTCACAAGACTAGTCACAAGTAACAGGGTGAAAAATGACAAAGGAATGCTTTTGTTGCAGTTCATTTGAATAGATGTGACTTGAATTCAGACTGGAGGTGTTGTGCTGGTCTTGTGTGGTCTTAAGTGGTGTCAACTACAACACTGGCTTGAAAACAGGCCATGTAACCCAGGACTTTTCCAATAAGCTCCAACAGAGTCTTTGGAGGGATTCAGACTACTCCTTCTGGCTAATTTTAGTTTGTGCCGTATGGCATCTCTTTTTGGATAAAGTACAAAACTGCTTCAAAATGTCCCGGGAATTTGGATTACAGTCATATCTTGAATGAAATATTTAAAAAAACAGTCCTTGATGCCTTCTGCACAATCGTTAGGTCAAAATTCAAACCACTAAAATGTATTCAACTTTATTTTGGATAGTTTGATTATTTCACCCTACACAGGGGTTATTTTGGCAGTCAGTAACCGACTTGATTGCTGGTCACTTGTTACGTATCTTGATGATTCACTACAGGCTTTTGGTTATGTTCCTGATTTATGACATAGTACAAAGTTTCTTTGGTTGATGAAATGCAAAGATGGCTGCTAGAATTCCTTACTTCATTTTCTGGGCATCTGTACAGGCACTCTGCACTGTCTGTAGTCCATGTAAGACAGCTTCCTGGCTGAAAACTACAACAGGAAAGACAAAGAAGACTAGGTTTTGAAATATCAATCTTGCAGTGAATTAAAAAAGGAAAGTGCTACACAATGTGACAGAGGAAGAGTTCCACAGATAAGGGTAACAACTTACACATTGATTGTTTGATGGCTGTGGTTTGTCGTAACGCTTCAAGATGGCCCAGAACCTGATCCAGTGAGGGGATGTTGGATGGCTTGCTAGTTTGTCTGAAATCAAACATAAGACGTCACTAAGAGTACACTTTTTCCTGTTTGTGACTCCCAGTCCAGCACCCAACTTTCATTTTTGTTTTTTTTTTAAATGAACCATCCTGTGCAGAGTCAACAGTCCTGGATATTAAAATGTCTCTGTTTATCTGAAGATGCACATTCTTGAGTTTTTATTGCTTGAGCAGGAAAGGCTAGTAAAACTGAAGCTGTAGGCCTAACCATGGGCACAACACCCTCATGACAATGTTCCCAGCTGAATAATCACATTGATGAGAATACCGACCTTTGTCGAAATCTCTTAGCTGATGTGGTTGCTCGAACTAGTAACGTCTTGATGAGGTCGGCCAGATGCTGTTCATCTTGGACGGCCCAGTAGCTCAAGATTGAAGAGGTGAACCTATCACCATCCTTACATGGTCGTGACATCAAAGGTTTCAACAGGTCCAGAGATATTCTGACAAGAAGACAAGATTCATTCAACAACTCAAAAGATAATTCATTCAAATGTCTTTGGTCAATACTTTTTCCTTCTGTATCTGTGTGTTTCTAGGTGATAATTTGACCATGCCAAGTTGACATGAAAAGAAAATGAATGTACCCACCGTGCTGGCCTCAAATAATGATTGTTGCTTGGACTCCATGGATACTCTTTCATTCATGTAGGGGACCGGACAGCACAGCTAATCTCAAGATTTCTTTTGGAATCTGGTCACTAAATAAGATCTCAATGAAGAGACTTTACTACACAGAGGAGGTGGAGGAAAGTACATGTATGTTGGTTTCATTCAGGCTGGTCTCAAACATTTATTTCAGGATCAATGAAGGACAAAGAGTAAACATAAATTATTCTTGGGGGTTTATTTAATTCAAAGTAAAGAAAGAAGCTCTCAGCAGCTGGGAGATGCCGAGAGAGTTAAGTAAACTGAGGAAGATCAACAGTTGGGTGATACAGGGGCTTGTAACATGTTCAAATGTGTTCAGTAATGGAGTTATGTCAGCTTCCTCTTTTTATGACAGAGAGAGGAAGAGTGACTGGGGGAAACTGATGAAGACCAGGTGCCACCTTGGATGTGGAAAGGGGAACAACATGTTAGCCTCAAATTTGGGACAGGTTGTGCCTGATGGTTGGGTCTTTTCAACCCATTTAACATGCTACAGGCAGGGTCAAACAACTAGGTGGCCAGGTTGATGTTTCTCATGTGATTGACAAAAAATCAACTGTTGGAAATTTTTAGTTTGTGGGAGAGAGTGGCTTTTGTGTCTGACAAAAAGCAGTGTCCAAGTTTGTTCTTAAGACATATCACACATGCTGATCTTTTTTCCCGGAAATGTCTAATCAAAGCAAGGTTTCAGGTCAATTTATTTGGGGGAGAAGAATAACTACCAACACCTAAGATGTTTTGAAAGGTCAAATATTTAAGAAATCTTTGGAAATGTTACTACAAAAATGTAGTATCACTGTACTTTGCTGCAAAATGCTGAAGACTTTAACAAGGAGAAAAGTTTTCGTGAATCTTTCTCCATTTTAGGGTGGTCCTAAACTAAACGTACTGTGACCCTATGATCTGATTAAAGTTTGTTACTGAAATACTCCAGAGGGAAACTCAGACCGAATTCCTTTGTCATCGTGACTGCTCGGTCACTGTTCGGCCTAGTTCCTATCAACTGAGGAACTACATACCCCCCCTTCAACTACCCCCCACAGTCTACTACAGCCTGATACTACCATAAATCTTGCCACAGGAAATCACATCAATTGCTTCTGTACACAGAGGGTAATTTTGTAGCTGTGGTTCCAATCCACACTTAATGAACCCCAGCATGTACACAGGTGGACTTCATCTTTATCTTAGAGCCTGAGGTGTCAAGAAACACGGCCAGCTAATGTCACATCCCCGTGTTACCTCAGTCAGGGAATTGGTACCTTGTGAAGGCTGGTCTACTGATGTGCACTTCCTGGTGTTTACCTGAACTGGGCCAGGAGAGTGTTTGAGGTGTAAGTTCATGGACCAGACTCTACCTTGGACAAAAGTCTGAATTTCTTTGCTTCAGGTAAATTCACACTTTCATGGACAACTGACTCAACAAATGAGGACTAGTCGAGAGTTGAGCACATCTCAAGAAATCAAGAATTAAACATACAACATCTTGGTTCAAAAAGGGACTTGATTGCTTTGAATCATTCAATAAAGTGGATAAAAATGCGTAATTACAAAGATTAAGAAAGTCTCTAATGCAAAATACAAACCGGTGGCACACTATTAGGCTGCTGGTGATTGACAGTTCAGACAGACCTGAACGGTGTTCACCTGGGGATAATTGAGCGCCTCCCAAACTGATCAAACCAGTTTTTGCAACCACACCCTAACCTCCCCCATTCAAGATCCTGACTGGACCCTTAATTCCTAACCAGTCTCAAGCTTCCAGACGGTCTCTGAAGTCGAAATCCCGGCCGAAAACCCCCCACAAACATCACGTAGCCAGCAGACTGGAACATTTCACAGACTGGATTTCAGGGTTTTGGGTGAAGGGGGCAAAGTTTGGACTTACCGTTCTAGTTTCAACATAAGTAGAAGGTTTGCCATTGCTTCAGGATGATCTGCAGAAAGAAAAATGACCATTTTAGTTTTGTTGTAATCAGCACAGTCCCAATTATAGATGTTGAAATAGACAAAAATTACTTCCATACCAGTTTGCTTCATCAAGAAAAAAAAGACAAATTTTCAACTCAAATGAGGGAAGGAATCAAGTTGTTTGGTTGTGAAGACATGTTATCCCTGCATCTTAGAAACTTTAAAAGAAAAACTGGACTTTCAGGGGATTCTCTGTCATGCCTGCTATTACACTAGATTCAAACTTATGAGCCAATTTAAGACAGCTTTGACATTGAGTGGTTAAGATGTCTGACCTTGTAATTAGGACATGACAGGATAGAGTGTACACTTGTACACACTGAACAAGTTACCTTTGGTGACAGGAAAATCTTAAGATTACAATTTCTACTGATAACAAGGAAAAGGTTATCGCTACTGCAGATGCTGTATACCTATTGGCCCTTCTTATGTTAACCTATTGGCCCTTCTTACGTCAACCTATTGGCCCTTCTTATGTCAACCTATTGGCCCTTCTTATGTCAAACAACTAACAAGGCTTTATATACCAAGCCTTATCAAATTAACTTGTCAATATTAACACAAAAAGTAAAAAATACATGTACATACACTGTGGCTAAAGGTGGTGTAATTACCAACACTTAAATTAATAAAGAGTTGTCAAGTTTGGCCACTAGAGGGCTGGTATATGCTAACCTTTATAGGTGAGTTTGGGAATGACTGAGACGAACTGATCCACATCCAAATCATGAGCAAGAAGCAGTTGCCAAACACAGTATTGCTCAAAGGTTTCCCACTCTAATGTAGCCTCTGAAATATGACAATAATAACTAGATGACTTCAACAAAAAGCTATTGATACATTCACTGACAAGCTTTAAGTGAAAATCAATATTCTCTGATTTACAAAAATAAGTACAGCAATGCCCCAAACCCTTCAAAGAATATTTCTATAAAAATTCTTACCAAAAAACTTCACAAATGGATTGAAACCTTTTAATTTGTTGCTCAAATCAACAAAAATTGGACAGAGTTGGAGTCCTCTGGATTCAGTTTGATTGAAGTAGTTTGCAAAACACGGCAGAAATTCGTCCCCTCCCTTAATGGCTGGCTCCTCTTACCCAAGACTTTAGCAATATTGTCCTTCTTAAACAGTTGCAGGTTGCCTTGCATGACATCACAGATCAAATCTTGTAACTGCAGAGCAGAGAAAGTGATCATATGACAAAGACGCAATACAATGTTACAAATAAGACACAATCAAAATGCAGAAATCATTATAATGATGACTAATTAGAATGAAGCTGAAAGAGATGTCAGACCTGAGCAGAGTCTACACATGACACTATTGTATGTAGTAGTTCTGTGCTCTCCATAGCAGCATCACAGAACTGGTAAGAAAACAGAAGGGAAAATACACGTTAACAAAGCAAGAATCTCAGAAAATGATTACAGGGATCAAGGTTTTTCTCTATTACATATTGTACTTCCATTTTATTATTTTTTTTCCTAAAATTATTGTTCTTATTGGAAGAGAGCAAGGACATGTAATGAAGATTTTAAGTTGTATCTCTTTAACCCTAACCCTCCTCAATCCTTAACCTGTTGGGGAATTGAGGAGTGTTAGGCTTAATGTATGATACAATCCCATTGAAATGACATGGTGAATTTCAGAGCCATGAAACAGCAATAGAAATCAGCATGCTGGCAGTGATCATATGCTGGCTGACTTTTGGTCTGTGATTTGCATGAAAGGCACGTTGGATGAAGGAGGAATTTCCAAGTTCAGATTGGGGCAATTTCCACTGATGTCATAAATATCTTATTTTCAGTGGTTACCATTGTGTAGACTGGAGCGACAAGGTAACACATGAGGCCAACATCTTCCTCTGCGCAAGCCTGTTGGTGAAAAAGGAGACAATTTCAGAGGAGAAAATGGATGAAGTGTCTTGGGGCTGGAAATGATTTCTTCTAGGTTCTCATGCTGAATTAAAACTTTATTTAGGGTTTGAAACTCATGTTCAATTCAAGTTCTGCACTTCATAATGACTGTGGTCTCTCCAGAATCTTTACCTTAAAGTCTCGGACCAAACACGCCGTCAGGTCACCCATGCCCGTATTCTTACAGGCTTCTTCATACATGTGTAATCTTCTCTCGCCTTGTTTGCTACTGTTGTTGTCAAAGAAACGAATTCAATCATTAGTATTTTTTTCATGTTTCTACAGGATGAAATGATGCACCAGATCTATACACGTGACGATCAATACAAATGTTCATGTAAGTTTTTCAACAAGCCCCCGGGAGCCAATGACAAAAGGGAAATTGGACAGATTAGTACTTTGAAATTTCGTTGCTACTGCTGTTTTAAAAGAATTCACTTCAGTAGGAAAGAAGGATAAAGAGAAAAAATTTTCTGAATATGTGATTACCTTGCATGTAAGAAATAGAGCAAGTTGTAGCCTATCTGGACTTGTTTCTCGTACATCACACAAACTAACGTCAGAAGTTGTAATGGACATGAATCCTGTTCAGCATCTGCACTCAGATTCCTGTATCAAAGAAACGATGAGGTATGGAAACTTGGTCAGGACTCGAACCACTCATCATCCAAAAACAAGGGCAGGCATCTTGACAATCAAATCACAAAAGGTGAAGCAAGGGGGAGCGCATGTCCTCGTTATACTTTTTTTGTTTCACAAAAGCAAACACACAGAGGTTTTGTAAAATTCTTGAAGATGTCATTAAGTGACAAATCTTTTGGGGCTTGCAATAGCAAAATTTTCGCCCATTTGTCTTCATTCGTTTTTCCCTACAAGACAGCCAAAACTTATTTTGATAAATTTTCATTTGAATAAGTTGTGCAACTTTCAAAAGACTTACAGAACACAGCATTCTTTCTGTACAGTGACAAGTGGATAAATTGTACTTCCACTACCTTCAATTTCTGTAAGCCACCAGTAAACCACAGCAGATGTAATTATGCCACTTCCTATCTGTCGTTTCCTGCCACACCTCCCCATTTTCATTTAGGGTGTGAAATCTTCTTTGTCTTATCCCCCTAATGTGATCATTCCTCTCAGCTGTTCCTATCCATCAATTATATCTCTGTCTTAATTGAGACTAGCAAGTGGTTACCCACTACAAGACTACACACATAATCTGGTATCTATGACAACTCACCACCTCAATCCAATCCCTCTTCAAAATATGTTTCCCCGCCCCTACCATTTTAAAGAGTGTAAATCCTTCTATAAATTAAATTACCTTTACAATGTATAACAAAAGGTCTAATGACCCATAACTGCCATTTGTACTTACCTAAATATAACATAGATTGGTTTGCCAAGTGAGTCTTCCATTGTTCTGTAGAGATGAAACACATTGACAGTTTGAAAACAAAGACAGGGCTGAGGAGACACAGCAAGAAATGTTGACATAGGACTGACTTGTTTAAGGGAGCTTTGCTAAATGTGGAACATATCTCTGCTATTGGAAAACTGTTTATTAGAATGTGTTATTTCTTCTATTGGAGGAGACACTACAGACATTTCCGTAGTCCCAGAGTTCACTTTCCATAGCTGTTCTATCAAAACTCAAACACTGTAGGTTCCATTCAACAGGCTACATCCACTCTGGAGTGTTTCTAACGTTTGTTTACATTTTGTGACAGCAAAATTTTTGTACAGTGTACCAGTACAAATGTCATGTCACCCACAATCTCTTGACAGATTTTCTTAGGATCCTCAGGAACCTACCTGAATCCACCAAAATCTTACACTGAGCCACATTCTTTGTACTTCAACTTCCAAGGGCCACTAAGCTCTTGAGTAAGTTAACAGTTAACAGTATCCTACAACATTTTGATGGAAACAGAAGGATCTGGAATAGTGCCAGTTTAATTGATTGAGATATCAAGCTCCTAAGTCAGGTAATAACGGCTAGCTTTTCCTCAATCCAGGTTGCCATTTAATGTTGACAAATTTACGAAAGTCACGGTTTGTATGCTCCAATTGGAGTTGTGTCAATATGTGACCTGGCCAGCATACTTACTCATCTGTGATTTCATCTGGTAGCGTTACACCTGTAATGTCACGTTTATACAAACTACAGAGGAACATTGCCAATGGCCCAGCTACATCACTGTCAAAATCATCCTGGAACATAAACAAAAAGATGACAAAGACTGAAAAATATTCAAATGGTTTACCTTTGTCTGAATGTATTGTGGGACAACTTCATGTGGGCATATTTCTGCAAATGAAGGGGTTCTTATTTTGAAACCTTAATAAGCACGCTGTCCAGAAAGGCTTTCCTTGAAATTACCAAACTATGTTGTGACTTCAGTGTTTTCCTACACAATATTCTTACAAGTCCTTTCACAATGCAATCGACTATGATCACGTACTCCACTAATCTATACTTCAGTACCCATTACAGAGCTGTTTTCATGATAACTGTACCCTGGCAATAACAAAATTTATTCCACAAAGACCTATTTTGATATGCTTCGTACTCACCATTTCTAAAATAACACTACAAAGGTTCTCCATTGTTTCACACTGTGTCTCAATATCAGAATCCCTGAATCAAAAAGACAGATAAAATCAATCAGAGAAAGTTTTGAAAACATTCAGTGAATAAAATGATGGCAGAAGTGGTCAAAATGCTAGAGTTAGTGTTAGAGTTAGGCTTATGTTTACAAGAACAAGCTGGACTTACTTCCACATAGAGCAAAGACACTGGACTGAAAACAGTATGGAACCCATTTCACTGTGTGCACATTACTTATGAGGAATGTGGTCTGACCTCTGACTCTGCAAGATGGAGCACATCTCCTTAATCTCTCCGTCTAATTGATCCAAGTACATGTCAAGGTCTACCTCCTCCTCTTGCTTGATGGGTCGAAAGACTGCCGCATCTTGGTTACGTTGCCTCAATGCTGAAGGAAAAGACAGTAATCATGAATAAACAGACATAGAACCCACCCATCATGCCCAGGGATTGCAAGTGTGAGGTGTGATGTGGTCTATTGCATGACTGTGCCCCACAAGACATATGACACCCATCATGCCCACGGATTGCAAGTGTGAGGTG